TCAGAGGAGTTTTATGTCCATTCAAGCTGCTGCTGGTAACTTCAGTGTTTTTCAACCTGGACCTTCTGTTCCCATGTTTTTGTGTCTGAATGATTCATGGATACAAGGAGTTTTGAAATGGGTCCAGTACTGAGTGAGAGTACTGTAGCTGCAAAACCAGCTGCAATGTAATCCGTCGAAGTACGTCCACTAAAACAGGGACGGATCTAGAGGGGGGCGCTGCCACCACAGTGTGATGTCAAATTAACAGTTTAATTTAAATAAATGTTAAAAATAAACAGGAATGAACGTACTGTTGTGTTACAGCAACATTTCAGACTCAGTGATTGGTTTTAATGCTGGAAGGGAACAGCATCACCTGAATGCCAACAGAGGAACATTTACAATATTCACACACTGAACTGGAGCCAATCTTTATTGGGGCACAAACAGAGTCTTTTTTCTGTTTATGTGAACAACATTTAATAGGTTTTCTAAAGTTATAAGGGTAAGAAAGCAGGTTCTGCCATATCGGTAATCTGTGAAGTTCTCAGCCCAAAATCTGTGTCAGTTTCAAAAATCCCGCAACCGTTGGGCTCTAGATATTTTATTATTAGACTGTTATAATAGATAGAAATATTTGCTTTAATACTTTATATACACCAGTTTGTCAAAAGTGTCTCAGAGTTTCTGTTTTTTTCTGTTTTTAATCAGTAAATTAAATCTCTCTGTGTTTTGGACTGTCGGTCCAATGAAACGAGACATCTGAAGACGTCACCTTTGACTCTGAAACTGGGTTGGACTTTATTCAGTGTTTAATGTCGATGCTGCATTAAGCTTAAAGCACAGTGCGACCTCACTGAGCTGCTAGCGTTACTGCACACAGCCTGAAAAACGTAACATGAACTTGAATGAACACACTGATGTCTCTACGTAGCTGTTTATTATTATTGTCCTGTGTGGTGTGTAATAAATCACTTGCATATCTGCTGGATTACAGTTCATACCACTGTTACATGTTTTCTCCATACTGAGCATTTATTTCTCCACCGGACTTGAATGCAGCATCTCGGCCTGACATCTCGGTGGTCTCTGACAGGTAGTCGTTGGTGTCATTCAGGGTCAGGTGACGTGGTACAGGTCGGAGGTCAGCTCTTCTCTCCGGTTTTGGAGAAGGTGCCCAGCTGTTTGGTGTTGACATCCTTCAGCTGCTCCAGCTGCCTCTGTGCTCGTCGGTACAGATACTCGATGTGCATCACGTCTGTCTTCTTGATGCGAGCGTTCTCCCTGAACTCATCGCGGATTCGGGGGATGAAGCCCGGTTTGTTCTGGCCGGCCCGCAGGAACTGCCGGTACAGAGCCAGGACCTGCTTCTGCAGCTTACTGTGCCGCGCCATCGGACACAGTCAACCTCAGCAGAACAGAAACCCTCTTTAACAACAGAAAGCAGCACTGAGGTATCTTCAGCTGCAGTTTCTCTACAGATTCACTGATCTCCTGTCAGTCTGAGGGCAGATGTACGAACACACACAGACACTGAGGTGATGCTGAACCCTGAATGTGTCATGAGTGTAGAGCTGGAGCTACTGACTGAGCACAGAGGACCCTGAACACACCACGACACTCCACTTACAGACAGCCTTGAAGCCTCATTCTTCTCTGAGCTGAGGGGTTGCACGGGGAGCTCTGATTGGCTGACGGGGCGTCTCAGGGTTGACTGTAGGATTAAAACACACACTGAGGTTACATAGTGTAGAAATACACAGAAACACATAAATCAGTCTACAGGTAACAGAGAAAGTGTCTACGTTACAACACTCACTGCTGATAAAAGTCTTTAATACAATAAGAATAAAATGCTTCAGAATCTGACATCAACCTTCAACCTGGTGAGATTAATTTCAGTTTATTAATTATTAAATTCAGACCTGCAGAGATCAGTAAAAGAATCAATCAGTTGTCAACTATTAAATGAATCAGTAAATATAAAGATTATTTATTTATTTTGAGTAATTTTTTAAGAACAAATTCCAGCTTTCCAGTTTCTTTTGTCCTCAGTGACAATAAACTGAATATGTTGGAGACAGATTCATCGATAATGAAAATAATAGTTTGTTAGTTGCAGCCATTAATTCTCTATGAACATATTGATACACAGACTGAAATATAATAAGCATTATAAGTGTCTTTGCAGCAGATATGGGGGTTGTAGTAGAACAGCGTTAGATAAGGTATCAGGTATAAAGCTTTGAATAAACTAGAAACAGATGTAATGTTAGTTAAAGCAGGAGGAGAACCGGACTCACCTGTCTGACTCTGGGATTAACGACCCGGTTCAAACCGGTTAAACGGTCTGTTTCTTCCCGCCAGTCCTCAGTTAGTGAATCAGTCTTAATATAAACCTATAAACACTCTGGTTTACTTTAAACAGCTGTGTTAGCTGATGTAAACAGCCTCTGTGTGACCTTACTGCACGTTACGACACCACAGCACAGACATGAGACATCCGCTAACACATTTCACAATAAAATACTTATTTAGGAACATGAAATATTACAAAGGTTCTAAAAATAAGATTTTTTGTTAACAATATAGTTTTGTTATTCTTGCCATTTTAAATCACCACAAAGTGTCTGTGAGTATTCTTCAACCTGTTTCTCCACTTAATACAGAGTTGCGCAGCTACACATTGGCTTTACTTTGAAAACCAAGACCCGGAAGAGTATGTGCGCTTCCTGTTTTGGTGTCAAACGTCAGCGCTGATGTCAGCTGATTGAAGATCAATACTGCTGTTAATCTGAGAAAGGTTCGTTATCTTATTTCTGTTCATTACTTACTGTTTAGTTTCCTGTTGGGACGTTTGATTCAAAAGGAAAAAACTGATGTTCCAACGACATTATCTAACGTTAGCTCCTCTGACTGTTAATTACTTTATAAACCATTCAACCTCTGAACGCTGAGCTTTGACAGCAGCTCACTCATCAGAAGACAATTATACATTCATTTAATATTCATTTAATATTCATTTATTGTCAGAATAATGAGCAAACCTTTTCATAGCACTGTGGTTAAATTACATAAACATTAGTGTGGTAACTAATGTAAGATATACTGACTATAATAATAACAATAACAACAATAGTAACAATAATAATAATAACAAATGTAGTATTATTATTATTACTATTATAGCAGCTTTATTCATAAAAAAAACAAAATAAAAAATAGCACTGTCTGGTAAAATTAGATGAATGAGTGAGGAATAATTAAATACTGAAAGATAAGCAGTAGTACTTGTAAATGCTTTGTAAAAAAAACAGTATATCAAGTATATATGTGTAAATATGGAGATCCAGCTATATGGCAGACAATAATGCAGTAATAAAGAATGAAATAAGAACTCTCTGTGCTCCTCCTGTCCAACATCCTGTGTTATTTATATATTATTATTATTATTAAGTCCTCCGGTTTTGACCCACATTGAAGCCTTTTGATGTTATCATAAAAAAAAAACATAAAGTGTATATGTATATATGTATAAAACAGCTACAGAAGAAGGTAGAAAGGTTCGTCTTTTTGCTTTATTGTTCCTGTTATTGGTAGAGAGGAAACCATCGTTTGTTGTTTGTGTTAATTAAATCAACCTCTGACTACGAGCTGAGAGAAGTAGAAAACAGGTGGGTTTTATCTCCACTTCTTATGTTACTTTACGCTATAAAAGGTTCATTATTAGAGGGTAGGTCAGCTCAGTTTATGTGAATTATTCTGCTTGTTGCAATCACACATTGTTATCTTCAGTCTTTATTTTGCTTATTTTTTTTCTTCCGTACATTTTCCAGACTGTTATATAATAATAATAATATTATTGCTATATAGTTCAGTGCTGTGGATACAGGTCAGAGGTCTATACTGTCTATGTGATTCATAGAATAGTAACAAAGACAGTTAAACATATGATTGAGTCTATTTGATAATAATACCTAAGTTACAGATACAGGGCATAGGTCACTGCTGTAGATGCAGGTCAGAGGTCTGTAGTGTCTATTTGATTCATATAATTGTAACAATAATTATATCATTAAGATTAACTTTATTTTGTATGTTTTAGTGATGTTTTTTTGTTTTCTGGACCAATAACTCTTGAACACAGTATTTAGTTTTGGGTTGTATCTTCAGAAATAAATCACAAACTCTTCTTGTTGGGACAGAAACTGCGTCTGGGCGCAGCGGTAGCCATTGGCAACTGCAGATCCAGCAATCACTCGCATTTT